AAACAAATAGATGAAGAAAGAAAGAGAAACAATACAAGGGCTTTCTATAATCAAGTAAACTGTATTAGTAACAAATATGAACCAAGACTTTTTGCATGCAAGGATAAGAATGGGATAGTACGCACTGAAACAAACCAAGCCATAAAGAGATGGAAGGAGCATTTCACCGACTCATCAAACTTTAACAGCATCAATGAAGCGATATCGGTAATAATTGCAATACCGCAACTGATGGTAAGTTACGATCTTCCGAGCCTAGGCGACATGAAAAATTCGGTGAAAAGGTTAAAGTTAAAGAAGCGTCAGGCGAGAACAATATTACAGCTGAGCTATATAAATACGGTGGTGACCAGATAGAAACCGAAATGCACTCCTTGATGTGTGGAATATGGCACAGCGAACAAATGCCAGAAGCATGGAAAAACAGTTTAATCTTCCCAGTCTATAAGAAAGGCAACAAACTTGAATGCGGTAACTACAGACCAATCTCGCTGATCGATGTTGGCTATAAAATTTTCTCTAATATTCTCAAAGATAAGCTTCCTGAAGCAATTGGTGATACTTAGGCGAGTATCAATGCGGTTTTAGACCTGGTAGGTCAACAATTGATCAAATATTTGTGCTACGTCAATCGATGGAAAAGTGCTATGAGCACAACATTACGCTACATGCACTCTTTGTAGATTTCAGGCAGGCTTTCGATAGTCTCGAAAGATCAGAAATCATAAACGCTCTGACGTGGGCGAGCGCCTTGCAAAAACATACTCGATTGGTCGCAATGATCCTTGCGAACTCATCAGGCAAGGTTATTATCAATGGACACCTCTCAGAGTCGTTTTCAATAAGCTCCAGAGTTAAACAGGATGACAGCCTTTCGACATTCTTATTTATATTACCATTACACTACGCCATTCACTCTATTGAAAATCTTGGCAATATTATAACAAAGTCATACCATAACTGTGCGTATGCAAATGATATTGCAATCATTGCAAAAAGCGAAAGAGAGCTATCAAATGTCTTCAAAATGCTAGACGAAGACACTAAAAAAGTTGGTCTTAGAATAAATGATAGTAAAACCAAATACCTCAAGCTAGCAAGAAGGAACGAGAATACGGGTATGCAGCACATATCAATTGGTGAATACAATTTTGAGGTTGTTAGTAACTTTACCTACCTCGGTGCGCTGGTTAGCAACAATAATAAAAGTAAGCTACGAATGTACAAGACAATAATAAGACCGGTAACTACATATGGATCATAAACATGAACAATGACGAAGGCGGACGAAGAAGCTTTAAAAATTTTTGAAAGAAAAATAGTTCGCCAAATCTACGGGCCAATCCAAATTGATGCAGAAACTTTTCAAAGACGAACAAATAAAGAAATTGAAGAACTGCTTAGAAACGAAATTATTGTGAGATATATTAAGTCGCAAAGGTTACAATGGGCTACTCATGTAATAAGAATGGGGTCGGAGAGAAAGCCGAACAGCATAGTCAACGCAAAACCGATGACAACCAGGCACAGAGGTAGGCCAAGAACAAGATGGGATGAGAACGTACATGGTGATGCAGGAACGATTGGAGTACTAAACTAGAAGAGAGTAACAGAAGATAGGGACAGATGGAGGCAGATGGAAGCAGATCGTGAACGAGGCTAAGGTTCATACTGGACTGTAGTCCCAAATAAGAAGAAGAATATCATAATATAACTCTACGAGAGGTGGTGTGGACATGGTAGATAAAATGCTTACCTCCTATATCTTTAAGCGTAAAACAAATCGATGGTCTACGGCGATTAACATGATAGATATTTCTGGTTTGAATGCTTATATAGTATTCAGTTAAATATGCCCAAATTGTATTAAATAGTATTCAGTATGAGCTACGAATTGCATTAGCCCCTGGTTATATGAACAAGAGGGCCCATGACCCAAGAAGGAGTTTCTCGTTATCGCTTTTGCAGTCAATCACAAAAAACAATGACGATATCGATCAACATGTGATTTCTGTGCCACCATCAAAGATAAATTGATGATTTTACATCAATTACTACATGTTTTTAATATTCATCGTAAATATTGAGCTTTGGATCAGAGTTTTACCAAACAAGTAGAATTAAAATTATTTTCGCAAGTTTTGTATAACTTTGTAATAAGTCTTTATTAATATTATACCCAAAATAAAATCATCAGTTTCTTATAGCTAAAACAATTTTTTTTATCAATTTTTTAATATAATTTGTTATATTTCATTAGTCATATTCTTATAATTTAATTTTATATGTTTTTAATTATTATGTTAAGGCTAGTTGAGTCAGTGCACCTGACCACTTTTACTCTTTATCAACTGCGAGGTTTCTTCAAAACCCCCCTTTGCGCCTTGTCTAGATTATTGTTTATCACTTCACCAGACTAAGCAATTATTGACCTCAGATCTGCATATCTCCCCGAGGAGCTTATAACCATTCTAAGATTTCATAACGCGGTGTTGGTAAGTCTGTCAGATTTCACAAATAATTTCAGGGCTCTATCCTTTATGTATTTTTTGATGGGATCAATCTTGATGTCCCTGAGGATGTCATTCTTCCTAATGTATCATGGAACTTTGAAAAGTCTTCTTAGAGCTCGGCTTTGGGCAATTTCTAGCTGGTGAATAGTAGTGTTTGAAGCTTTGCTAAACGCTACACAACCATATAGAAGTGACGGACGAATTATTTGGTTATATATCAGTTTCCTGTTTTTAGCATTGAGATTTTCATTTCTAAATAGCGGTTGGAGGTAATGAAGAATTTTGGCACAGCTAATTCTTTTCAGTTAAAAATATTTAAGCCATGTGAATCGTTTGTCCAACGTGATGCCGAGATATTTAACGCTATCCTCCCAGTTTAACACCATATCACCCACTCTCATTCTCGACGTATTCTGTCTCCATTTACGAGTTATAAACAGAGCTTTAGTTTTTAATATTTATTTTATTTTGACTTAGTCAATTTTTTCAAAGATTTGAAGAAATTAGTCTTAAATAATTCAAAAACTAAACATTGAGACAAATACTATAGATAATCGATAAGAATGGTACATTTTTTAGTCAAGAATTTATACACATATTATTTATTTTCATTCCTTTTTTTTCCTTTTGGTTGTCCGTAGCAATGTGGCATGCAGCGCGATTTCAAAATCTTTTATAATAATTGGATAGATTATGCTCTTTAGTATCTCAGTTTCAGATTCGATAATTGTTATAAATTTACAACGGTTTTTTTCGAGGTGCTCGACCCATCTCTCTTAAAGTTCTCAAAATCGAACACTCATCTATTTTTTTTCGTACACATTATTTTGCATTTCATACGTTCCGGCACCATTATTCTCTTTATGAATAAAAGAAAATTTAATACTCGCTTTTTATTCTAAGTTCTGTTCTGAACCAGTTTTAACTCTCATATAAGGGATGGACAAAAATAGGAGCTGTTAAAATTTTATAATACTTTGGGGTGAAATGGATTTTTAGTCTCTAATTTCAAAATTGTGATCGTTAATTATGTTTAACTGCTTTTAAATCGTATTTTTCTTTTTTTGAAACAGAAATGAGTAAATATTTATGAATACTATTATACTTATTATGTAGAGTAAGCATCTGAGTATTTTAAAAGTTTTATTTTTATCTTAATCAGTTTTTATTATTGTTATTACAATTTATATATCACTATGATTCCTCTGTCAGTTTTCAAATGCCTATCGTTACATCCATATTGTGTACTTTTGCAGAATTTTCTTTTAGAAGATACATTCGGATGGGAAGATTTAATAAGATGTACTATTAATTTTCGATTGAAGTCAATTTAAGAAGTTTTTTGGGTGTGTTCCACAAAGACCTTCCTTGTATTTTTATATTTGCACTCTTCTTTTTTTTTTGTTTACACACCTTCAAAATCAGCCTAGTAAGCGAAAGGGAAAAACAAAACCTAACTAACTTCTGAAGAACCCAAAAAGGCATGCGGCAGTCAAAACGACTTATTTTCCGTGAACATATACAGGCTGAAGCTGTTCTGAACTTAAGCAGAACAGATATCAAACTCTACACAAACTGCTTACAGGCCACTGTAGACAGTGATACCATCTGAAAAAGATTGGTCTAGCAGAAAACGATTTCTACCGACTCTGTCAAGAGAAACAGGAAACAGCAGAACACGTTCTATGCGACTGCCCATATTATTCAACATGTATCTTTCTAAATCTAGAAATGTATTTTTGACTACACTGCTTTTGACTATATTTCGCTTATTAAGAAATGAAATATATTATTCTAATAGTAATCAACAATTAATGAGCTTAATATGTTGTCATGATCTCTAATATTGATAGGTCAAGACAACTAAGCTTTAAAACGCTTTTATAACTCTATCTAGTAAGCTGCTAAAAATTTTATTTTCGTATTGCGTCTTATATTCTACATAAACATATAGACATAACCACAACCATAGTGATGGCAAAAATACTTTGATATGTTACCTATACCTAGTTAAGCCTATATATATACCAGCGTGAAATATTTCAACTACAATTTTTTATCTAAATGCTTTTATCACTAATATTGATTCATTTAGTAATTAACGCTGGAACAATAAAAATACAACAATTTTTGTAAAATAAACCGGAATTCATTTTGATTTCTGTTCAGTAAATAAAAAAAGTTTCAGAAGTCTTGTTAATTTCGTTGTATTCATGGAACGGCAGTGCAAGGTTAATTTATAAAAGAGGCGCCTAAATTAACCTGCCATAGTTGGACAGGGATTTTAACAACCACTGAACTGTCATTTAAGTTTTCATTTGTGGTTAACTATATTTTCAAATATGGTGCAGTTTTCATAAATTTTAATGTGCTTTATATTATTATACATAGAACATGATTTTTTGATTTCAATGTTTTTTAATGCTTTATGTGCTAATATAGAATTTTCTAGTTACTCATAATGTTTAACTTTCTTGAACAATGTAGGTATGGTTTTCTAATCGCCGAGCAAAGTGGAGACGGGAAGAAAAACTTCGTACGCAACGTCGTTCCGTTGATCATGTATCTAATAATGAAAGAAGCAGTAGTAGAAATCCAACTACAATGAGCAATAATAACCAAGAAAATTCTAGTCATACACCAAATGTAACAAATAATGTAACAGAAAATTCAAATGGTGCTGGCTCCACAATTCAAAGTAATGGAGCGGGAGCAATTCTAGTTGAAGGCGCTCACACAACATCTATAAGTCCACCTCTTCAAGCCGTAGCACCACGATTGCCACTGAATACAGGTTTCAATTCAATGTATTCTTCAATACCTCAACCCATTGCGACAATTGCAGAAAACTACAAGTAAATGTGTAAAATAGTTACAAAATTTATTTATATTAATTTATGTGTTTAGTTCTATGACAACGTCATTGGGTTCAATGACGTCCACATGTCTTCAACAACGTGATAGTTATCCATACATGTTTCATGATCCACTTGCGTTAAGTTCTCCTTATGCGACACATACACGAACATCATGCAATCCAGCAGCAGCACATCAGCAACCCCCTCAACATGTTTACGGAAGTAATAGTGTCACTGGAACTACAGGAAATACAGGTACAGAAATCACACTATTTTATAATGTAAACATTTCGAAATGATTTTCGTATCTAACACAATAACTTTTTTATAAAATTAACATATAACATATTATGTAATAATTAGCATAAAGTTTTGATATTACCATATTCTATTACTTAACATCGTAAATGCACGAATAATTGCTTTCAATAATTTCAGATAACTATACTTTTGCAGGTGTTATATCAGCTGGAGTCTCTGTCCCGGTACAAATACCAACACAAAGTGCCAGTGACTTAGCAGGCTCAAATTATTGGCCACGAATTCAGTGATCTACAATTTTCGATTTAACACCACAACCATTCACCAAGGGAGCTGCACAGCAGATAGATTCAATTTCCGAAATTATTCCTAACGGAAAATCCAAAGTAATAGGAAACACGAACACGTCGCTAGACACGATATCAAAACCTTTTAAATTGAATATTTCACCGCTTTTACCTGTAGTTATAACAAATCATAATCTGCAAGCTCATCATCATAAAAATTTTTTATAATGTCAATCATAAAAGAAAGACCCCACCTGCCGAACTAGAACACTTCATAGCCCACCACAAACTTATACTCAACGCAACGCAAATGATTAAACGCACAATAAATCTCGCAATAAAAATTGAATTCTTATTTAAGCCGCCGCGGAAACAGTATCAGTTAAATTACAACAAATTCACTTTGTATAATTTTAATTTCTTATAATATTATTAAGTAAAATTTTCGATTAATGTTTAATAAAAACAACGAAATATTTTTGAAAAATGTATGTAAAATGTGTGAGAGTAAAATAGATAATTGTAATATGATTTATAAAATTTTTCTTGTGTATGTATTAATTAAATTTTAAATAAATAGTTTTAAGCAATCAACAATGTTTGCTAAAAATTGTAACAAGTTATTTCTTATCATCATAGAATTTTTTTTTTTGTTTCTTTTGTTCGTAGCCGTTGGCGCCGTCGAGTAGCCTCCGCCAGTCAGCCCGATTAGTAGCTTGCTGACATCATACAATAGCATCCTTCATTTTCTACTTTATTACTTATTAAATTACTACCTACTGATATATAACAAGTTGAAAACGCTAGGAGTGTTTCATATACTATATGTATATAATAATATAATAATATATACATATAATATATATGAGTCAATGCACTTGAGCACTTTTACTCTGTTTTAGCTACGAGGTTTCTTTGTAACCCCTCTCTACGCCTTGACTGGGTTATTGTTTGTGACTTCATCAGACTAAGCAATAATTGACCTCAGATCTGCATACCTCCTCAAGGAGTCTGTAACCATTCTGAGATTCAATAACGCGGTGTTGGTAATCCTGTCAGTTTTCGTACAATCCAATGAAATTTAAAAATTCCTAACTTTATTTTTCATTACACATAGGTTGTAATGGTGTTAGCAAGGGGGGACCTAACGACGCCATGGCCCTTATTAATATCTTACTATTATTATAACTTTTTTTTGGTATAATGAACACTAAAAAATGTTTGCAAGTCCTACAATTTTTTTTAGAACCTTTCTTCAATGACGTCATTTAAATTACTATGACTCAATATTATAAAAAGTTTTTACTTTAATTTATAAAAGCAAGTCAACCACATGGAAATCATAGCAAAGTCCACAAAAAGGCAATAATATTTAGATTTTAAGTATGTTGGATGCATTGTAAAATGGAAATATGTTAAAAAAAAATTTTTTTTAATTAACAATATAGTTGTCACTCGTGTAAAGTAGGTATTTCTTAGTGCCATGTTATGCACAAAGTCATGGGCACGTCAAAATTAAAATTGTTGTTGCTTTCAAGGCAAATTAAAAAATTGAGCGTAGGAGAAAAAAAATATGTCACAACTATTATAAAATAATCTAATAAATTAACATTTTTACACCTTCTATAAGTTTTTTTCTGGTGTTCATTTTTGGTGGCAAAAGTGAGCATATCTAGTAGTAAAAATAGGAAATTAAATATATTGATATGATTCTCAGCATAACATGCATTTTGGTCATGAGCATTCGTCATATAACTAATTGCATAACAGAATCGGTTATTGATATATATATATATGTATAATGTTTGCACTTTTATACTCTGTATATGAATTAACTAACGTAGGCCCATCTTATACAGAGATTCATAGTGACGTCAAATTTAAATATTTATTTTTTGTGTCTTGTTACATACAAAGAACAGCTTACACACAAATAAATATTAGTTATTGGTGACATAAAAACATCATAATTTTAATAGTTTTTTTTTTATATTTTATGTATAATTCAACAGATTTCCATGTTTCTCAATTTCTATCTATTTATATTTTGCTTGAATAATACTTAATGAATTAAGATATATAGCTAGAAACCAAGATTTGTGGAAATCCTATGTAAATAGACTAAGTTCCTAATTTACCTCTTTGATGTAATGATAGAACATGTCAATAATAATAAATAATACTAGTTTACAATCAAAACTTTCCAAAGACAAAATCTATTGTTCCTATAATGGAAATTTCCGTAGAACCATAACGCAATAGACTTTTCTATATGCCAAGCTATCCATATTTGAATGAACAAAGTATAGGAAGAATTTTTAATATTAATATTTTTTGGGGATCTAGCTTTTTGTTAGTCCATCTATGATGTGATAAAGTTATATTTAGAAGTTCATTGTCATTGTAAACAAGAGTAGGTTCCAGGCTCAATTTGCAACTGTGAAAAACGCTCTTTAATAAGTTCATATCTAAACTACATAAGTCAGCTTTACAAAAACATACATGCATATAAATTTTATATTGGTAATTATTATTATTATTATTATTAAGACATGTTCTTCATTATAAAAATTAAATTTAAAAATTTAAAAATTAGATCTTAGTCTATTCACAAATAATATTTATAAACTTCTTCCATTCCTACTGTTTCTGGCAGTAAAACGTAACTGGTTAAAGGATTTGCTTGTTTCTGCTGCCACTGTTCTTCGCCAGGTGGTTTTGGGACGACCTCGTCTCCTTACTCCTTGTGGGTTCCATTCCATGACTGCGTGGGCAATTGCATCTGTCGGTTTTCTAAGTGTGTGGCCGAGCCAGCCATATTTGCGTCTCAAAATTTCTTTCTCTATTGGCTTTTGTTTGGTACGCTGCCATAGCACTTCGTTGGAGACTCTTGCAGGCCACCATATGTTCAGAATACGCCGTAAGCTTTTATTGACAAAGTATTGTAACTTCTGAGTCGAGGCTCTCGTTAGCGACCATATTTCGCACCCATATAATAATGTCGATTTGACGCAGGCGTTGAATATTCTGATTTTAGTTTCGACGCTTACATTGTTGGCTTTCCAGATTTTGTTAAGCGATGCGAAAGAGCCATTTGCCTTTTTTACTCTACTGCCGATGTCCTTTGACGTGCCACCCTCGCTGTTGACTATACTCCCCAGGTATTCGAGTTCCTGCACGTCTTCAATGTTTTGATCGTACAGAAGGATGGGCGATTGATTGCTTGCTTTTGTTCTCATTGTTTTTGTCTTTGAGGCGTTAATTTTTAGGCCGACTTTATATGACTGCTCACATACGTTATTAACAAGAGTTTGCATATCAGTGTGTCTGTTTGTTAACAGTACTACATCGTCTGCATATTCAAGATGACCAAGCTTTTGATTCAGCTTCCAACCAATGCCGATTGGGCTTTCTTCTACAGCTTCTAAAACGACGTCTAGGACTGTGATAAACAGTAACGGTGAAAGGGCGCAACCCTGTCGCACTCCACTGTTGCAATTAAAGCTGTCGCTAAGAGTACCTTCATGTAAAACTCTACTCGTGGCCCCTTCGTAGCTCTTCTTGAGAATATTAATGATCTTATTAGGGATACCATTAGCGTTTAACGCCATCCATATGTAACTTCTCTTAAGCGCGTCGAAAGCCTTTTCAAAATCAATAAATGTTAAATACAAGGTTGCATTCCATTCTGAGGCTTGTTCAATAAGTATTCTAATCGTGTTAATTTGGTCGATGCACGAGTGCCCAGGGCGAAAACCTGCTTGAGTTTTATGAATAAGCTCGTTTAATGTTACGCGATTCTTTCTAATATTATTTTGTTGAAAATTTGGAAAACTGCTGGTATTAAAGAAATTCCCCTCCAGTTGCTGCATTTCTTTCTATCGCCTTTTTTCGGCAGTTTGACGATGATAGACTCCTTCCATTCGAGAGGGAATGACTCTAGTTCCCAGATTTTCTCAAACAAGGGGAGCAAAAGTTTGGACACAGCATTGGGGTCTGCCTTAAAACACTCTATTGGTAAACAATTATTACCTGGTGCTTTACCACTTTTCATGCTAATGATTACACCTCTTATTTCGTTAACGCTAGGTGCCCTTGTATCTATTTGTCTGTTAGGATTTAGATGTCTTGGTATTGTGAGCTCGCCACTTTCGTTGTGTATGATATTTAGGGTTTTCTCAAAATGTCTTTTCCAAACTTCTGCCTGCTCGTTCTTAGCAAACACCAGCTGTCCGTTTTCATTTTCAATTGGAGCGCTGCTTTGGAAAGATATTCCACCTAGTTGTTTAGTTAACTTAAACAGCTCCTTCATGTCGCCCTTTTCTGATGCTGCTTGCGCTTTCATGCTTAGTTCAACGTAATAGTTTCTCTTGTCGCTTTTGACTGCTTTCTTGATCTGTCTACTGAGACTTCTGTACGTTATGTTGTATTCGGCTTTTTTAAACGGATCTGCCTCGCTTAACATTTTCGTTGTAACTCACCTTCTCTGAGCAATGAGCTCCCAAGAGTTTGCCGACAACCATTCCTTTTGCTCGTTTTTACGGTAGCCTAGTGTGTCCTTGCAGATCTCTTCGAGATTTGTTTTAATATGAAGCCACGTTTCCTCAATAGAAGCATCCTCCATCAAACTGACGTTGTTAATACGTTCGATCATTTCATTCTTTACCGCTCCAACATTAAGCTTTGTGGTATTATACGTGCGCCGTGTATGCTGCGGGTGTTCATACCTATGTTTAGGTATATTAAATTTCAGTTCGGCCACCACTAAATAGTGGTCACTGTCGATATCAGCGCTTCTTTTGTTTCTGACATCACATAGAACTTTACTCCATCGTTTTGAAATGCAGATATGATCAATTTGACTTTCGAAGTTGCCAGCGGGGGACTTCCAAGTGACCTTGTGACACGTTTTATGAGGAAATAGGGATCCTCTAATCCTGAGATCATAATTTATACAAAGTTCCAAAAACAGCTCCCCATTCTCGTCACATGTTTCAATGCCATGAGAACCTCTTACAGTTCGATACTCTGAGTTATTTCCGCATTGAAATCGCTCATAAGAATAATTACATCGGTTCTAGGAATTTCAGAGAGCGTTCTTTCTAGCGCACTGTAAAAAACTTCTTTTTGGTCAAGTGGACTATCTTCTGTTGGAGCATAGCATTGTACTAGAGACATATTGAATTTCTTTGCGCGAAAACGTACTACTATTATTCTTTCGGATATAGCTTTCCAGCATAAGATTGAGTGCTTAACATTTTTTCTTACGTAAACTGCAACGCCTCGGATGTGAGGGTCTTGTTCGTCGGGCATGCCGGAGTACATAAGTACACCTCCCTTTTGGTTTGTGAATTCACCTGTACCATTCCATCTGACTTCGCTAATGCCAATTACGTCTATTTTAAACCTATCGCATTCAGCGGCTAACGTAGCCATTTTTCCTGCTTGAAACAGAGTTCGCACGTTCCATTGTCCAAATCTTGTCCTTTTTACATTCCTTAAGTCGGTATCGTTTTGGTCAGGCCGGTTTCTATTTCTTGTGAATACTTGAATCTAATGTTTTCCAGCCGCCACGAGTGATTAACCCATAGCTGCCCAGATCGGTGGTAGGGCTGCTACCTTTCTTTAATTTCGTCAATCACCATTTGGCCTCCGATCCTGCCATGATGTGAATGTGCAGCTAGCATTTCCTCTAGACAGCAGATGGAAGAGTTCAGATATCCCGCCGAACACTCGGTCGCCAGAGCCTCATTAGTGAAAACAGGGAACACCGCGGGAAGGTTGAGGTTGACGTTAACTCAAGAGAGGCTATTTGAGACGCGTCTTGAGCCTTGTTCCCCTATATTGGTAATGGTAATGGTGTTTAAGGGTTTCGGGTTAGGCTAAAGCCTCTGCACTGCGAC